GAAGTCTGACGACTGTTCCAAAGAATATTAAGTTAAAATAGATTGAGCGTAATACCGAAGGATATTAATATCATAAGATCGCTATAAATAAATTGATAGAATGTGTGATGAGAACATTATAGAAACAAAAGGTTCTTACTTAGGCATATACTGTCTACTAATTAGTATACATGACAAATAACTAATATAGAGCACAAGTAACGCACCTATACACATAAGTAAATCCGTAATGAGAATTATATTAAGGTCCTCTCAATAATTTTGTATATAGCCCATACTTAATTGAATGACTATATAACTTAAAACAGTGAGCGGATAATACCTAAGGGCAAGTAGCTTGGTGTAACCACACAATAAGATATAAACCTAGAAAAGGATACAGTTACGGATAATGAGTTTGAATTTGTGTTTCTTAGGCTACTTCAATTCGTACTTCCTTATGACAAGAAATTACTTGTTTTGTAATTTGGCTGCAATGACCGAGTTTCCGAATCATCAAAATGAATTTCTTCACCTTGAGATACTTCGTATTCTCCAGAATATATACAGGCTAGCTCTATTTTCCTCAGCTCTGAAATGATAAAGGGATCATTTGGTTCTCTATCATAAACTTGCTGCAAAACTTTACGCGCACTCTCTAACTTCCTGCGTCCAGCAAGCCAACGAGGTGTCTCAGGGAGAAAAAAGAAGCAAATTATTTGAATTAAGGATGGGAGACCCCCAATTGCTAACATGAATCTGCGATAATGCATATAAGTTAAGATAAAGTTACCTCCAGCCATTTGTTTGATCGAAAAAAAAAATCCCATCGACTATGCAGGCAACAAACTGGCCAGCAGTCACAAACAAATTATTTATAGTGACGAGTTGTGCCCTGATTTTGTTTGGAGCACATTCAGCTATGTAAATAGGTACAACCATAGAAGCAAGGCCTGGAATGAAAGAAAACCGGTAAACATTACCAATACCAACACCCACCACCAACCTTCCGGCTAGCAATGATCCTACCGAGACAGATGCCCCCATAATGATAGCTCCAAGAGTGAAAACGACTCCAGCAATCATTATAACCGGTTTTCTACCTAGATAATCGCTTAAAAATCCACCAGAAAGCGAAAAACATGCTGCAGATGCTATTGTGATACTAACCACCAGCTCTTGTAAAAATGTAGAAAGACTAAAATGCTTTCTTATTTGTATCATAGCTCCGGAGATAACTCCAGTATCATAACCAAAAAGAAATCCACCTAAAGCGGAAATCAAGGTCAGTCGCAGAGCCAATACTGTATTATACTTAGACTTTCTTAATATGATTTTTAAATAAAAAATAGAAATACTGAGAATCAGTGATAAGATTCAACTCCTGATGAGAACTGGGAAGTTGGGAAAACTCAAAAGGACTATCCATGAGATGGTGAATTTAATTAGGTACCACGTCTAAATTTTGTTTCATTAACAGATTTAAAAAAATTAATTAATTAATAATTTTTGAGTTTTCCATAATATGGAAACGAACAAAATATATTAGTTTTAATATTGGTCTATTAATAAAACATATGTATTTTAATATAACGTAAAAATTGAATTATATATCAAGGATCTTACTATATCTG